AGTGCACTAAGATAAAACCGTTTAATTTAAAAGTTTTTTTTACCGATTTTTTATTTTCTAGTTTTTAGTATTTAACGGAAATGCCTACCGAATATTCCTCGTTCTATTTAATTCATTTAGTGCATCATTATTACATGGTTTTTTACCTGATAATTTATTACAATCTGACGCTCAGGTGTTTCTGACGCTAACAACTCTCTCTGTCTATCGCGTTCTGATGCTAGCCTAGACTCATGACGCTCAGGTGTTTCTGACGCTAACAACTCTCTTTGTCTCTCTCGTTGTGATGCCAGTCAGACTCCATGACGCTCAGGTGTTTTGCCGCTAACAACTCTCTCTGTTCGTCACGTTGTGATGCTAGCCTGGACTCATGACGCTCAGGTGTTTCCGACTCTACCAGCTGCCTTTGTCTCTCACGTTGTGCTATTAACCTGGCATCATGTTGCTCAGGTGTTTCTGTTGCTAACCGTTCTCTTCATTTCTGTAGTCGACTATAGGTTTCATTTTCACTTTCTTTTGCACGTTTCGTTCTATATTTTTCTTTCGCCTTTTCGAGCCTTCTTTTTCGTTGTGTAGCAGTTTCGTTTTTATTTTTGTTTGTTTTTTTTATTTATTGTTTCCATGTTGTTCCCACGAGTAATGGACATTTTAACGGTCGACCCCCCCAGAGGTCCAGTAGAGGGGCAAGGCTATAATATACAATAAGAGGCGCCCAATCTTGAGGGGAAAACGCTTGCGACATTACATTTTTAGCCACCCTAATGCCATACAGTCCTCGCATCGTTTTAACCTATTACCTTACCCTGGTGGTAAGCTACCGCTAACTACGTAGGTACATCTAATCACCTATTTTTTTTATCTGTCCTTCTAACGTCACACAATCTTGGACACAACTGTTCTGGACACGACTACTCATGCCCTCACCTAATACGCCATTTTGTAACGACGTCCATCTTGGATTTTAAATTTTGTCATAATCACAGTATTCTACTAGTGCAGCCCTTTCATTTGATACCCATATTGAGGGGGTTGTGGAAAAATATGAAATCCGCCATTTTGTACCGGCGGCCATCTTTTTTTTAAGAACAAATCTTTATTAAACCAACAAACTATTGATTTTTATCATTAAACCAACAAACTATCTTAGATTAGTTATTGATATTACTATATTGTATTGTCATCGGAACTAAAGGTGTGTACCAAATTTCAGATCAATCTGACAACAGGAAGGTACTTAAATTTCAATTTCTAATTTTGACCCAAATAAACAAACAAATAAATAAATACCGTACGGGTCGAGCTAAATAAAACTGTTTAAAAAGTAAAAATATCATACTTCTTGACCAAATATTAACGAATATTTACAATCATTCTTTTTCTTATTTTACCCTTATTTTAGAGGATTTATTTTTATTATTTTTTTTTTCATCGAATAGCTAGAGGTACCTTTGTGTAATGTTTCATAATTTTAGAACAGGTTTATAATCGTTCACCCCTAATTTACCCTTCTCGGGAATGAAATTTTAAAAACCGCTTCATAATTATTTCATTTCTTAAGAAACCTTTTTAAATTATTAACAATAAAATTTCATATTCTTAGAACAATATTTTTACAAATTTTTATACAAATTTCCACCAGTAATTTCTAATTTAACTTCTTTATGGGGATCAATTTACATAAATCGCCTTTCCCCACTCAATTAAGTCACTTAACAAACATCAGAAATTAAAAATCATCTATGTGATTCCGAAATACAAAATTCCTTCTTTAATTTCTTCACAAAGAAGTCGTGCCTTCTTAGTAAAAAAATGGAGTTTACTTTGCTGGTCCGCTGTAAATTCGCCCATATATTAAATTTAACTGAAAAATTGGCCCGCCGCATTCGCCAATATGTAATTTTTACATTTGCATTGCGCCTCGCATCTGTATAAGTTGTCTGTGGTATAGGTTAGTATAATTGAAAAATTATGAGATATAAAAGTAGTTTCCAAAAACGTAATAATATATCGAATGTTCCATTTAAAATAACAAAGGCGCCTTTATGTAAATATCCAAATTTTAAAAAACGCTGTGTCTAGCCTCCCGGTACCGGTATTCGAATTAATCCGGGAAAAATAATGAAGTAAGCATATGACATAAGAGTCTACCAGTATTAAAAAAATCCGGTAGAGATTAAGCGATAGGAAACTAATACTTAACCTAAAATCTGTTTATTTGATTTTATTTGTTTTTCACAGCTATTATAGATGTATATCAATCTTATTAATTATTTTGTTAATTAAAGAAGCGCATTTTTGCGTAATCGTTAATGCTGGAGATTGTCGTTGGACAAAAATTAAAAACATTTGGTGAAGCGCATACACCCATCAAGCAATAGGAGCTGAAGACATTTTCAAATAAAAGTATTGGAAACGGGACGCTCGTCTTATTGCTCCTCCGATAATTAAAAAAGCTATTATTCCAGAATTGAAATGTTACGAAGTAAAATATTTTTTTGTCATTTTTGGAGGTCAAAAGTATGCAACTATGATATGTCACCTGATGAAAAAATAACTGGCAGTTTGTGTCTGCTTAAAAATCACGCTAAATCTCTAACATTGAAAAGAAAAAGAAAATTCTGGTTTTATTCACTTTGGAGAGAAAAAATAATATGTATCTATCTATCTACTTATTACTATTTAAATTGTTTCTTTTTTTATGAAGTACTTATGCGTCTACGACATATAATTAATTAATTGTCCTGTAGAAGTATCGTTTGATTATCATTTTTTAAAATCATCTATCTAAACTAAATTTCTTTTTTCTTGTTAGTAAAGAACTAAACTCGCAACTAAATATATTAACTTTCAGATAAGTTATTTAAACAATATACCCTCGAATATACCTATAAAATGACAGTCATCTATGTTTCCAAAAGCCAACTCCGACACCGTTTTTTTTCAATTGTACGGTACTTGATTGTATGGTTCATTAAGAACTACAACTTCCAAGTGATGACAGATGATTAGACACTAAATATATTTAAAATTAAAACAATATATAAACAACCGAGATTGCCGGTATATTGGTACGTTATTGGGTATCATCTCAAATTTTACCGGGATTACTGCAACTAGCGGTACATTTTTACGTCATTCATGTACGTCACACTCTTTACCGCGATTTATTCGGAGATCGGTATCGGGACCGGGAGGCAGGACAGCATTTAAAAAATTTCCCCTATTACCGATTCTCCATAAACGTCTAACCTACTATCGGCATCGCCGTGAATCACCCTATATTACTGTGGTAGATTTGCGTCCTTATGATAGATGAAATGGCGTTCGCAGGTTTACGACTAGAAAATAAACAACCTTTGATTTAAAAAATTGCCACCTTTTCGACGTGTATTTGCTATACAAAGAAAAAACTCTACTTAGCACATACAAATTATTATAGCTCAGAATTCTTATTCTATTATTCTTTTTTTTTAAGTTTTATATACATAATCAATATTCATAGAAATAATATAATCAACACATTAAAAAATACCACCAATATAAGAAAACAGCAGCAAAGAAAGAAATTTGAAAAGCATAAATAATTAGACATGTTACGCACAATACTCGAATTCGGGTAATGCCCGAAAAAAATGCAGTTCTAAGTGATATTTCCGTTTTATCGCCAACATTGTTGTTGTCAATAAAAAAAACTATTATCAGCTAATTGAAACTCATTTCTACAATAAAATTTTTGTAAAACTCCAGTCTTTGTTGCTAATTTGTAAAACCCATTATCAGCCGATTGTACAAGTCAATATCGTTAGATATTGTTTTTTCGACATACGGTTATGTTTCTGTGTTTTAGCCATCATCAATCGACTTACCTACTTGAATTTCGAACTCGGGTCCCATTTTTTCTTGCATTTTATATTTTATTTTACCAAGTATTGCGTATTTCCACCCACAACAAAATCAAAATAAGAATCCTTTAAAACCTAAACAAACTACTAACACTACTTGTTGCCGTCTTATTTAAAGAAAACGAGCAAAACTAGTATTGGTCATTTTGAAATGCACCAAACTAGTTTTGCACAATTTAAAATGTACAATACTAGTTTTTGCTATTTTGTAAGGCGCAATACCCGTTTAAATGTACAATTTCGGGTTTGGGAAATATTTTTTGCTCAAAAATAGTTCTGTGCATTTTTTTCGGGCATTACCCGAATTCGAGTATTGTGCGTAACATACACACAAACAATCAAATACATGAAAAATAACAAAGTTATATCTATTTCCAGCTAAAAGGTTATTTTCCAGCTAAATGGCTTTGCATTTTTCCTATATTTGATTGTTTGTGTGTATAATTATTTATACTTTTTAAATCTCTTTTTTTATTGCTGTTTTCTTATATTGGTGGTATTTTCTAATTTTGTTTTCTAATTTCTAATTCTGAGCTACAATAATTTGTATGTGCTTAGTAGAGTTTTTTCTCTGTATTGCAGCCTTGATGAAGACGAAAATACACGTCGAAACGTCGGCAATTTTTAAATAAAAGATTGTTTATTTTCTGGTTCTAAACCTGCAAACGCCATTTCATCTGTATAATTAAGTATATATTTTTCAATTACATAACGTACCAAGTCACCGTGGCCTAACCTAACCAACAATTAACTGGTTTCCTCAATTTTCTGCTTAATTAAATAAACTGAATAACATTTAAATATATCTATTTCGTTAGAGGTTCAACAATTTTCAATAAGTGTATCTCAAAAAAATATATATAAAAATCCGACAAAAGTCCTACAAAAACTCTTATTGTTTTTATAAATTTGGTGTTTTTTGCAATATTTTGTCTTGTAATTGAATTTTGTAATCTGTTAGGCAATAAAGCATATTACGAATAATTATTATAATAATTATTAAAGAATATATTTTAAAATACCCTGGTTAACTAAACTAGTTTTTTTCAATGAAACGTAGTGTTATATGTTATATTGTGTGTCTAAAACCAAATATACCTCTTGTCTAGGCGGGCTTCTTTGAACAGGACTGTACTCAAGCTCAGAATAATCCCGATACGTGCTGTTGATTTGACTGCACTGTTGCTGGGAGGCATATTCCTCGTCTGATTCAACATCGTCAGGATGGCAGAGCGATCTAAACAAAATAGGTAAAATATTTTTTAAACAAATTTTTATTAGTTATAAAAGTTATTATTTTTAAAAGTCAAACACGTTTTTGCCCCGGGCAAATCGTTTTTGTGTTTTATTAAACCATTATGTTGTCGACGATCAATCGATTGACGTCGATCAACCTGACTGTGGTTAAATTATTATCCGACTGATCAGTGTGCATTAGCTTATGAAGGGTCCAAACGAAAAAATTGATAAGCGCTAATTTCTTAATTTTAGGATATTACAATATTATAGTAGGTCTAACTACAAAATGTATAAATTCTGCAGGGCAATAAGTTGTTAAATGGGGATCGGGAGGGTCGAGATCATCAAGGATCTGGGAGTTTATCTGGACGAATCTCTTCGTTTTTACAGAACATTATGAAAATGTGATTACTTTTTCGTACGTGTGGTGATTATAAAGATATAAAGTGTATAATATACAGGGTCCGGCAATAGTGCGTCGGGCATCTGTAGCTCCTAGAATAAAAAACTTGAGAATTTTGTTTAAGTGCAAACCTAAAGTATGTACCAGGACGTATTTCAGGAAAATATGTAAACTTCTATAGGGTGGCTCAAAAAAGTGTCAGTGGACCTGGATGATTTTTTTTAAATGGAACACCCTGTATATTATTGCATTTTTGGATTCTTTTCAGATCACTTTACATAACCCTAAGATATGAATAAATATATTTCGATAGTTTCAGAGATATTAAAAAATAAATCAAAAATATATATTTTTCAGCCCTTCTTAAAAAAATTATTAAAAATACAGGAACTGTTCTGAAATCAAAAGTATATTAGGTATTTACATAGATGGTCTGTTCTTACTTTGCTATAAATATGGTAATCGTAAATCATACAGGATGTTCAATATTCTACGCCAAACTTTCTAAAATATAAAATATTTTTTCTTTGTTTTTTTAAATGGAACACCCTGTATATTATTTTATTTATTAGATCGAGAGTTAAAAAATGAACATTTTTTGTATTTAGAGTATTTCAAAATTTTTAACGGTTTCGCAGATACACGCAGTATTATTTCATATGGCGGTGTCAACGGTAAAATACGAGAGAAAAATTATTGGGTGGCTTTGATAAAAATTTACTGTGGAAAATGCCATATGAAATATAAAAATGCAAATATCTGCGAAATCGTTAAAATTTTTGAAATACTCTAAATACAAAAAATGTTCATTTTTTAATTCTCCGTCTATTGAAAAAATTATAAACAGGGTGTTCCATTTAAAAAAAACGAAGAAAAATTATTTTATATTTTAGAAAGTTTGGCGTAGAATTTTAAACATCCTGTATGATTTACGATTTTCATATTTATAACAAAGTAAGTACAGACCATCTAAAGTAAATACCTAAAATAGTCTTGATTTCAGAACAGTTCTTGTATTTTTAATAATTTTTTTAAGAAGGGCTGAAAAATATATATTTTTGATTTATTTTTTAATATCTCTGAAACTGTCGAAATATATTTATTCATATCTTAGAGTTATGCAAAGTGATCTGAAAGGAAGCCAAAAATGCAATAATATACAGGGTGTTCCATTTAAAAAAAATCATCCAGGTCTACTCACACTTTTTTGAGCCACCCTATAGAAGTTAAAATATTTTCCTGAAATACATCCTGGTACATATTGTAGGTTTGCACTTAAACAAAATTCTTAAGTTTTTTATTCTAGGAGCTACAGATGCCCGACGCACTATTGCCGGACCCTGTATATGTTTCATATGTTAGACCTATTTTGTACTATGGATCCATTATTTGGTGTTCGCATTACGAAAACCATATTAAGCGGTTTAGGAGGGGAGTTAATCACCGCGACCTTACAGATCTATTGTGTGTTACAGCGCACGGTAGTTATATTAAGCGGTTAGAATCTGTCCAGTGAAGATTTATTAAATACTTAAATTTCAGGGTGGCGCAAAAGGGCAACTGGGCTCAGTGTATGATTTGGGATTAAATTTGTTGCAGGCTGGCAGGAAATTCTTAAATGTATGTTTTTTTAGAATAATAAATGGATTGATAAGTTCACCTGATGTCTTAGCTTCAGTTAGATTTCATGTTCCATATAAAAATATTAGAAGATCACAACTGCTAGCCTGCAACGACTTCAATTCCCGCCAGTTTCAGAATATGACGTATAAGAGAATATTTTCACTAGTTAATAATTGTTATCCTGATCTAGATTATTTCAATGTATCCGTGGCGTCATTCAAGCAAAATTGAGGTCTGTTTTGGGTGGTATGTAGATAGGTGTAATGTAAATAAATAATTGTAAAACTTGCCGGCAATTGCTGTTGCCCTATATGTTCTCTTTTAGTTTATATATTATACCGGGTGCGTCTCAAAAGTGGCTCGCCCCTATAACTTTTTTACTTTTTCTTACTTAGCTTTTTCAAGGACCGATACGATTGAGACATGATGGAACCACCGGATTCTTAAGAGTTGTATAAGGTGTCTCTGTTGCCACTTGTTTAATGCTTTCATGTGCCGGCGGTACGGCACCCAGGTTTCGCTCCCATATCTCATGGTGGGGATTATAATTGCTCGGTATACTGCAAGTTTAGTTTTTGTACTCAAGTCATGATTGTAGAAAATCCTGTCTTTTAATTTCCAGAATGCTCTTGAGGCGCTGCTAATCCTGTGTTGAATTTCAGAGTCGATATTGGCCTTTTCCGAAATCAAACTGCCGAGGTAATTGAATTCCGCTACATATTCCGATAGTTCTCCGATTTTTATAGCATTGTTGTGATCTTCCAGGGGAGTGCACATGATTTTGGTTTTGTCGATGTTTAGCTGTCCAAAAAATTTTGTTGATTGTTTAGCTGACAAAAATGTCCCAAGCCTCGTATGCCCAGGTATATGTGTTCAACATTTCTTGTAATTGTTGTAACGAGCTTGCAACTAGAGCGCAGTCATCAGCGTATTGAAGTTCTGCGATGAATTTTGTACGTGTTTTTGCTCTCAAAATTCAGTGCGACCATGGTGGGGAGTATACTTCAAAGGTATTTTATTGAATTTTTATGAAGTTCCCCCTTATACCCCCCAAATGAACGGTGCGCTGAACGTAGAATGTAGAATGTTTAGAAGGGGAGTTAATCACCGCGACCTTATAGATCTATTGTGTGTTCCCCTTTCTTGAGTTATAACGAGTTATAACTCATCATACAGTCTCAGGGCTTTAAGAAAAGCCAGTATCTGAGACGGCTCCACAGAGGCCAGCGCTGAACGTATGAATCAAACCTTAATGAATACAGCAAGGGCTATGATTACACAATCAGGGTTATCCAAAGAATTCTAGGATGAAGCTGTTTTGACGGCGGCTTATATTACTAATAGGACACAGTTATGTAGAGTGAAAGAGAAAACTCCTTTCGAGTTATGGTTGGGTAGAAAACCGAATGTCAGTAACATGCGTGTGTTTGGTTGTGTATGTTATGCAAGAGCGCCTGATTCGTTGCGTAGTAAGTTAGATGACAAAGGATTAAAATGCAGATTTGTAGGTTATACAGAAAATGGATATAGGTTGTGGAACAGAGAGGAAAATAAAATAATTCATAGTCGGAATGTTGTATTTGGTGAACAAAGATTTTCAGATGAAATAAACAATAAACGAAATGATGAAGTTGATGATGGGAAAAATGTGATTGATTCTTAACAAACAGGATACAGATACTGATGAAAATGAAGCAAAGATTGAAGTAGAAGAAGTACAGATTCAAGATCAGGAAGAACTAAATGACAATGAAAAGAAAAATGACAGACCAAAAAGAACCAAGCAGCTACCAGCCTATCTTGATGATTATGAAGTAGATCTTGGATGTTTAGCTTTAATGTGCGAATTTTCTGATGTTCCTAAGAGCTATAAAGAAGCTGTTCAAGGTCCAAAATGGAATATGTGGAAAAAGGCGGTAGATGAAGAGTTAAAAGCACTAATTGACAATAAAACGTGGCAGCTAGTTGAAAAACTAGAAAATGAAAATGTAATAAGCAACAGATGGGTATGGATATAAAATATAAAGCGAGGTTAGTAGCTAGAGGTTAAGAGCAAGAGAGCTCAGATTTTTCAAAAATACATGCTCCTGTTGCACGATTATCAACTCTCAGAATTCTTTTGTCTGTTTGTGTTAATTACGATTTATTTTTACAGCAGTTAGATGTTAAAAATGCATTTTTGAAAGGAGCTATAAATGAAAAGGTATACATGAAAATTCCGGATGGCATGAATGTTAGTGTTGAAAGTAATGTGAAAAATAAAGTATGTCTTTTGAATAAATCTATTTATGGTTTGAAACAAGCATAAAAGTTTTAATACTTTTATGACTAATATAAATTCTGTACGATCAAAGTCATAAAAACATAAGGTGTTATCTTCTCTTATACGTAGATGACATTTTGCTTGCCAGTAATAACTTAAATTTTATGTCTTTTGTCAAATCAAAACTATGTGATAATTTTAAAATGAAAGATATGGGTGAAATTAAAATATTTTTAGGAATACAAACATGTGAAAAGAGACCTTAAAAATAAAATTATAACTATTGATCAGACTTGTGCTATTAAAAATTTATTAAAACGATTTAATGTTGAAGATTGTAAGAAAGTAAAAAACCCTATCGAGAAAAACTTATGTTTGTCTAAAAGTGTAGATGAAAATCTTAAAACAACCATATAAAGAACTTTTGGGGTTCATTAATGTATATTATGTTGGGCACTAGGCCTGATATATGCTTTTGTGTTAGTTACTTTTCAAAGTTACGAGACACTTGCAACTGATGAGCATTTCAAACATTTACTAAGAGTGTTAAAATATTTAAAATTTACAATAAACTTTAAATTATATTTTCATTGTGGCGCTGAAAATTTAGTGGGGTACGCAGATGCTGGTTGGGCAAATGACCGTTTAGACAGGAAATCTATTAGCGGATTTTGTTTTAAATTGTTTGATAATTTAGTTTCCTGGTCAT